GAGGACAGAAGGACATGTTAGACTGGTACAGGACATGTATGAGGACAGAAGGACATGCTAGACTGGTACAGGACATGTATGAGGACAGCAGGACATGTTAGACTGGTACAGGACATGTATGAGGACAGCAGGACATGTTAGACTGGTACAGGACATGTATGAGGACAGAAGGACATGCTAGACTGGTACAGGACATGTACGAGGATAGCAGGACATGTTAGACTGGTACAGGACATGTATGAGGACAGCAGGACAGTGGTGAGATGTGTGGTAGGAGTGACAGATACTGTAGCTTCAAGGTAGAGGTGGGAGTACATCAAGGATCAGCTCTGAGCCCCTTCTTGTTTACTTTGGCGATGGACCGATTAACAGATGAGGTCAGGCAGGAAACCCTGTAGACTGATGTTTGCAGACAACATTGTGATATGTGGTGAGAACAGGTGGAAGAGATGGTAAATGGTAAATGGACTGTACTTATATAGCACCTTTCTATCTTATTTCAAGACACTCAAAGCTCTTTACACTACAATCTGTGCCTCATTTACCCATTCATCCAGCACTCTACTAGATCTCTACAAAGCTAATTGAACAAATCATTCTAAAGAGAATAATCAGAGCTTTATCACTTTCATACACTGATGGGACACACATCAGAGCCTATAAGGGGGTTCAGTGTCTTGCCCAGGGACACTTCAGCATGTGACTGCTGGTGGATTCGAACCCCCATCTCTCGCATTGGAGGACGACTGCTCTAACCACTCAGCCACAGCCGCCCCAAAGAGCTGAGAGGTGAGACAGTGTGCTGTCCAGGCACAAATTCTCCATCCTCTGTTGTACACATGTTCACCAATCACAACACATACCTCATCTTCCTGACCACCCCCACCACCCCCACCCTCACTGAGCAACAAAGCACCAACTTGTTTTGTAGTTCCCCTTACGGGGGCTGGTCAGAGTCAACCAAAGGGTCACATGTGGCCCTGGGCCCGTACAATGCCCAGGTCTGCTCAAACAGAATCAGACTCAAAGGACAGTCCTGGTGGAGTCCCACCCCCACCAGGTACGAGCTCGACTTTGTGCACAGAATGCAAACCCTGCTCCTGCTTTGGGTCTACAGGGACCGCATAGTCCTTAAAAACACCCCCAGAATACCACGAGGAACATGGTCTTAAGCCTTTTCCAAATCCACTAAACCAACAGACTGAGGAGTACAACCTCCTTAGCTTCTGCAAGGGTGAAGATCTAGTCCAGGCCAGGCCAGTCCTCGGTACTAAATGTATTTTATTGCGTAGCTATCTAAAGCTTTAAAATTAGACCCATAGGAAGACGATAGAAATGTTTCAAAATGACCATTTCTCATTTCAAGGAGTGTTAGTGTCACAGTTTTATTTTTAACATTCATTCTGATAACACATTTATATTTGATGTGTAAGAAAATACTTTTACAGACAATAAAAGGGAAGCATGATTGGATAAAATCTATACATAAAGAAAAGAAATACATGTACAATAAAAGTGGTTTACAATGGTTATTTACAAAAACAATGATTAGAAACATTCACTTTTGAACATTTATTATCCTTGTTTCTGTATTAAGGGAGCCCAAGATTCACGTTTGATGACGTGTTTGCAAGTTAGTGATTCTGGACGGGAGCATTTGTTCAACTTATCATTTCTGAACCTGAATGATGGTCTGTTGCTGTTCCGGTAAGGACATCTGCACAGATGAACTAAACCGAGGGAATAGATTCTTGTTATTTGGAGACGTGACCCCTGATCAGTTTGAAAGACTCGCAAAGCTAAGGTTGTCTCAATTTGTCTTTTCTAAGGAAAGAAACTGTACAATAAAGCGTGCCAGTAGGAAGCGATCACTGAAGTCAGAGGCGATCCGAGCGATCGTGAGCAGCGTCTCTCAATCACCGTGGCGTTGCGATGACATCGTAGCGCCGAGGTAAATTGGCAAAGCTGCTGTACTCCGGGATGAGGTTGATGCTGTCGGGGTCTTCGGGGCAGGACAAGCTGAAGTCCTGCAGGATTGCCACGAGGAAGATGAACAGCTCCATACGTGCCAGAGACTCGCCGACACACGATCGTTTTCCTGTAACGAGGATCACGAAGTTTAGCCACAAATAATAAAAATTGTAGATCGTGTTTCCACGGTGTGATGATTTTCTTACCTGCAGAAAAAGGAAGGAAAGCGGGATTCTTCTTAAAGTTGCCGTTCTGGTCCAGGAAGTGCTGGGGGTCGAAGGAGATGGGATTGGCCCATTGCTTCTCGTCTTTAAGCACAGAGTGCAGCAAAGGAACTATCACGGTCCCCTTCAAAGATAAAACAACAACTGTCATTAAAAACAAAGGGCACCAGATCCTTGTAGCTAACAACTTACGCTACCTTAGGGATGGTGTAGCCCTTAAAGGAGATGTCCTGCAGGGCGTAGTGAGGGACACTGAAGGGGACGATGTCCAGAAAGCGCTGAACCTCGTGGATGACGGCATCCGTAAACGGGAGGGACTTTCGATCCTCCATGTTGGGACATCGTTCTTTCCTGATCACGGCATCGATCTCCTGCTGCATCTTTTCTGAAGAAAAAACAAAGAGACGCTTTGATCTGCTGCCCGGCCAAAGACACCTTTACTTGTAACCGTTGCCTGTTATTGAGGTGGCGTCTCACTGGGCTGCGACTCGTTGGTGAACGGCACTTCAGAATGCCTCACAACATTCATGCGAGTTCGAAGCACATAGTCCTGTTGCCCGAGATTTGGACGGTTAGAGAAATTAGTGCGACTGGTTTGTTGTTAATGTTGTCACAGATGACCTGACTGAGCAAAGAGACTGATGAAGCCTTCCGGATAGAAGGCGAAATGTTTCAGCACAAAAAAAGAAACTGTCCAGATGACCTGACTGAAAAATATTGGATTGTATACCTGGATTATTGAGCATGGACTTTGTTGTTAACCAAATACAGTTATTGCTATTTTTTATTTAAACTAATACACTTTAGCTGAACATCTCACTACACTACCATGCAACTTATCCCTCAGTTTGATTTGTCAGGAGACAAATGTTAAATTAAGTGGCCTCCCTACCCTTCCTTGTGAGCACACACAGACAGTGGTGGTTGTGTTGCTTGTTTTTTGAAGACCTGGTTGCCTCTTCAAGCTCTGATACTGCTGCGTTACCAAAAGTAGGGTTCAGTGGGGTCGTAGGGTTCAGTGACGCTGGAGGTGGACAACACGGTCTAGAACTGTGGTGCCCAGTCTTGGTCCTCAAAGACCACTATCCTGCAGGTTTTAGATGAACCAGGATTGGACACCGCTGGTCTAATGTATAGAGTAGTCCCTCACTTATCGCGGGGGTTACGTTCCAGACTCCCCAGCGATAGGTGAAAATCTGCGAAGTATGTATGTATTTTAGTATTATATTTTAAGGCTTTATAAACCCTTCCCACACTCTTGCAATGTTCTTAACAATGCTCTAAACGCTCTAAAAGAGCACAGTGAAAGAAAGCAGACAGACTGAGTCACTCCTGAGGGCAGACTGGCCATCGGGAGCACCGGGACATTTCCCGGTGGTCTGGCCTGCTCAGTGATTGCCAAGCGGGACCAAAGGCTCAGTTTGGGTCGTGCTTAATTATTTTAAATAACAATCCATGCTGCTCACTCTGGTATCTGCCTCACAGAAGCTCCCACAGCAGCAATTGGGAAAGACAGACCCCACCCCCTCCTTTCTCTTTCTGAGGCTGTCTGTCACAGCAGAGCAGAGACACACAACAGGTTGTGCCTGCCAGTTGTGTGTCTCTGCTCTGCTGTGACAGACAGCCTCAGAAAGAGGAAGGAGGTGACCCCTCGGTGATCACTGAGTGGGCCAGGCCACCGGGAACTGTCCCGGTGCTCCCGATGGTCAGTCTGCCCCTCAGCACAATGCTCTGGCTGGTCAACTTCCATCAATCAGCCAATTGTGTGTTGTGTACAATCTTACGTTGAAAACCCGCAAGTCCGCGAAAGTCGAACTGTGAAGTATCGAGGGACTACTGTACTATTGCATGTTGCACACAAAGATGGCAACGGACCACTCGCTGGTTGCCAGTGCTCAGAGAAACGACCCGTTTTCTTGCCACTTTGCCCGGTGAAGCGCCACCTTTAAGAGACCTACCCTGAATCTTGTGGTGTTTCATCAGCACACCGAAGGCGTATCTGATGGTGGAGCTGGTGGTTTCTGTTCCCGCCAGGAACAGATTCATCACTGTAGCCACCAAGTTGTCGAAGTGGAACTCAGTGGAGGGATTATCCTTTTCCTGAAACAAACAAAAGTTAAACCCAAGACATTAAAATAAGCTTTTAGCTACTGGGAAACCAACGCCTTCTTTCTTTAAAAAACATGACTTTGTTGGATGAATGTTTAATTTTTTGGACTGAGGCTATTCTCGTGATGCAGGAGAGTTAAACGTCTCGTTGCCCTGCAGTCAAAACAGATTTGATGAAACAAAAACATCCGGATCTTCCCAACCTGGTCGGCCCGGATGAGGAAGCAGTCGATGAAGTCTCTGGGTGAGCTCTGGTCCAGAGTCTCTTTGTGCTCCTGGATCTTCTTCATGACAAACTCCCGGATCATTTCGACTCTTTCAAAAACGGCTTGCTGTTTGGCTGAAACACACGCCATGAGCCAGGGGAAGATGTTGTACATCTGGGGGGAACAGACGCCATCTTTGTTAATGTTTGTGGGAAATGTTGGTAGATCGTTGCAGATTGAGGTAATTAACCAACTAATATTAAACGACCCATTGGACCCCCTCCTCCTACCATGCCCGTAGGGCTGCTGTTGAACCGGGTCACCTCAGAGATGGTGGCCATAAGCTCCAGGAACTTCTCGTCATCGTAGCTGAAGCGCTGGCCGAACACCAGGCAGCAGATCACGTTGGACACGGTGCGGCTCAACAAAATCGACGGGTCGAAAGGTTTACCTGAAGGGAAAAAAGAAAAACGCATTTTCTAAATGTTCTCCGATGATCGAATGCGTTTTATGTGCAAAAAGCTAAACGTTTAATTAGAGAAACTTTTTTTTTCCTGAGACGTTCTGAAGCTGGGTTAAAGCTGAAAGAGGCAAAAGGCCAGCTAAAAGCTTAAACTTGCAGAAATGTTGCTAAAAGTAACAAAAAGGCTAGCTCAAAGCTAACATGACCAAAACACAGAAAGCTAGCTAAGTAGCAAAACGATAAATAAAAGCTGAAGTAGCAAAATATTAACTAAAAGCAGCAAAATGCAAGCTATTAGTTCCAAATAACAAAAGTAGCTAAAAGTTAAAATGGCAAAAATAGCTATAAGTTAAACGTAACAAAGGCTAGCTAAGAGCTAAAGTAGGTAAAGTCTATCTAAAAAAGCTTTTTGAGATTTTTCTACTTGGATTATTGAGCATGCATCAGGATAGGTAAAGTCTAGTTATAAGCTAAAATAGTAAAAGCCTTGCTATAAACAAAGCTCAATTCAATTCAGTTCAGTTCTATAACATTATTTATCTGAGGAGCAGACTGATCTAGCTAAAAGCTAAAAATAGCAAAATGTTAGCTAAAAGCAGTAAAAACTGTAATAGCAAAAGTAGCAAAAGGCTAGCTAAAAGTAGCTAAAGAAGAAACAGACAATTTTCTGAAGCAGATTTCAAAGTAAATGATATTTCTAAGGAACTCTTCATGTCTTTCTATAAGTTCATATTTATAAATAACGTTAAATATTTTTAAAGTATAAAAGTTACAACAACTAAAAGTCACAGCAGCCCTCTCCTGAATGAGCCGAACATTTTGATTTATGAACAGCTTAAACAGCACAAAGTCACTAAAAACTGTTAACCATAAGACGAAAACAGTGAGAACGCAGCCGGCCTGCTGGTTCTGGTCCTGCTGGTTCTGGTCCTGCTGGTTCCGGTCCTGCTGGTTCTGATCCTGCTGGTTCTGGTTCTGCAGGGCTAGACTGAAATTGATCTGTTTACATCCAAACCCACTGATTTAAAGCACGTGGGTCGATCTGTCGCAGCAGCTAAAGCATAAACTTTTATTGACAACATACTTTAAAAAAGATAAACACGTTGGACCGAGTGTCGGACAACGGTTGTTTTTAATTACGTCAACAAACTTTGTGCTGTTCAAGCATCAACATGTTCAGCTTCATGATCAATAGTTAGCTGTGGCTTTAGCTTTTTTTAATCGTTTACACTTTCTGAAATATTGAACTTTGTTTACAAACATTCATAGAAATACATGAAAATATTTTCTATTCCTTCCAAACATCAAATCTGCTTCAACAAACCATTTTATTTTGTCCTCTTATGCTTTTAGCTACTGTTTAACATATTTTAGCCATTGTTTTGCTAATTTTAGCTGTTGTTCTGCTTATTTAAGCTACTGTTCAGCTGTTTTATTAACTATCATTCTTTTAGCTTTTGTTCTGTTTTCAACGTTATTATTTTCATCTACAGTTTTGTGAGTTTAGGCTACTGTTTAGATAATTTTAGCTGTTGTTTTGCTAATTTTAGCTGTTGTTTCTTTAAGCTACTGTTCAGCTGTTTTTAGTGTTTAACTACCGATCTTTTAGCTTTTGCTCAGTTTTCAATGTTATTATTTTCAGCTACGGTTTTGCAAGTTTAGGCTATAGCTAATTTTAGCTGTTGTTTAGCTTATTTTAGCTAGTGTTGTGCTACCGTTAGCCTTAGCTTGTTTTATCAGTTTGAGCAAACATCAGCAGTCTGACACACTTTGCAGATTTCTCTGGTTCCCTGTGACGTCAGAGGTTCTCAAGCTTCAGCTTCCTGGTTCTTCAGTTAGAAACATCTGGGCTCGTGCTGCAGAACCCGTCCAGGTGAGAACTCACCTTTGAAGCTCTGGATTCTGTCCCTCAGGTGTCTGCTCTCCTCCTGGATCCACTCCTCCATCCCTTTACGCCCCATCCCAAAGTCTCGGAGGGTCGTGAGCGTGAAGCGCCGCAGCTGGCGCCACCGATCCCCGTTACTGATCCCGAGACCTGCCGGGACAAGAAGTGGGTCAGAACTCACCGAGGCCCGGACAGAAGGGTGGATCGGACTGGTTCTGGGTGTGTTAGAACCCAGACAGGGACTGACTGGACTGGTTCTGGGTGTTAGAACCCAAACAGGGACTGACTGGACTGGTTCTGGGTGTTAGAACCCAGACAGGGACTGACTGGACTGGTTCTGGGTGTTAGAACCCAGACAGGGACTGACTGGACTGGTTCTGGGTGTTAGAACCCAGACAGGGACTGACTGGACTGGTTCTGGGGGCTTACCGAACCCTCTGGTCGCTCTATGCAGAAACGGCACCGGTGCCCGACCCGTGAAGTCCTCTGCCTGGTCCACCAGGGCCTCTTTGACCGTATCGAACCCGGTCAGAACCACTGTCCTCTGCCAGCCCAGCTGCAGGGTCATCACAGGACCGTAGCTTTTACTAAACTAAACACACAGAAACCACAATTACTCAAACATCTGGATCCAGATCTGATGTGGAAAAGGTCCACTCAGAACCGGGCTTTCTGCCAGAACCGGGTCGTGGACGGTTCTTACCTCCACGAAGCTCTTAAAAGGAGCATTTTTGTCGATCTGCAGCAGGTTTCCAATGATGGGGAGCGCAGGGGGTCCAGGAGGCAACCGAACCTTCCTGGTTCTGACGTGCAGGAACCAGATCAGAGCCGCGCTCAGGCCCAGCAGGATCAGGGTCGTAGAGAAGTCCATCCTGGTCTGGACTCCTGGTTCCTCCTCTCTGCTTTTATCGACCTCCTGTAGATGATTGACAGGTGTCTGCCACGTGACCCGTTTTACGCACCGCGCACCTTCACCTGGTTCAGGTTGTGGGTGAAAAGCTGCAGCTCCGTTATGTCACGAGGATCCAGAACCCAACAGAACCGGCCCGCAAACATAAATCACGAACTTTGGGTTAAAACGAGCTGCAGACTGGATCTGGTCCGAACGAACCGAACCCAGTGTACAAAAAGTCCAGATCGCTTGGTGGGCCCTCCAGGTTCTGACTCGAGTTTTATTTTTATTTTTTGGTCATTGTTTAAAAATCTTTTTTGAAGTTTTCTGGAGCCGCCCGGTGTCTCTTGGGTTGCCAGGTACAAAAAAGGCGAAATGCCGCCAATTCACGTTAAACTCATGTTTTGACTCAAACTCGGAGTTGCCAGATAATTCAATAATTACCGTATTTATTTTTTTCATTCAACCTATATTATATATATATATATATATATATATATATATATATATATTCAATTTATACGATGGTTTTAAGGTCTGAAAGAACAAATAAAACCTGAAACTTAAAATAAAGATAACAATAGTAAAAACACGTATGAAGGTTTTTGTACAAACTATAGAAAACTAACTTAAAACTAATTTGTTACGTTCTGAATATAAAGAATGAACACAAACTGTTTATCAATATTAAGATGACAACAAGTCAAGACGTGCACTTTGAAACATTACAGCGCACATGTTCATCCTGGATCATTATTTGAGTGAGGATAAAGATTAGGACTTTTTGTTGGGTTTTTATTTGTGACTCACTTTAAACTTCTTTTAGAGTTTATTTGTGGAAATCAATCCTAATTCTCGCTTGTTACATTTTGGCATTTGATTCAAAGAACCCCCAAAATAAAAATGTTTTTTTCATAACAGCCCTAACTTCAGCAGTTTTCTGTGAATGTGTTAAAAAAGATGAACTTTCTGGATTTCAGGGAACAAGCTTCCTCATGAAGCGGTGATGAATCACTGATGAATATTTCTTTTTAAGCCGATCATTTTGTTACAGAAAATGTTTTCACATATTGTAGAAACCAGAGCAGAACTGCTGAAATGAACTTTTTCTTATTGTGCTTAGATGCAGAAACATGAGAAATGTTCATGTCTTTGGTATTTTGGGTCAAAAAGGAACCGAGGAGACACACGACGCTCCAGAGCTGCAGATTTATACGACTGTAGATCATTTGAGAAATCACTATTTTGTCCTACAGCGCTTGCTGTACACATAGGTGCACTTGCAATGTCCTGCTGGTGTTCTGTTCACAGTTCTCTTCACTAAAGATACAAGTGTGTCTCCCAGTTCTGTCTTCCTTTTATTACAATGCTACCGTAGAGAAGGCATTTACATGGTGTCAGAAGTGGGATACAAACCCACGCCTCCATCAGAAGTTTGGGCATTTGTATCCACCTGAAACTTCTTATTCATGCAAACACCAACACATCATCGTCTGGTCCGTCCAGGCAGAAAGAAAGCAGAAAGCTCTCCTACACTCAGGACGTCAGACAGTTTGGGCCAAAATCTGATCTCTTAAAGCCGCTGTACGATATTTTGTCCTTTTCTATCTGGCAACCCGGCCTTACATGCTGAACACATCCCAGGACTGCAGAAGGTCTGAAGAATCAAACTCAG